TAAGTTAATTAACATCACAATCTTATCATAAAGTGTTTAATTATCGACTAAAAACTTTAAGTTGATATACCTCAATAAAATTATGCAAACTATATCATAATTTTTTTAGCAATTTTCTACAAATAAATATATTAATAGAACTTAAAATATTTATTTATCATTAATGTAGAATTGCAATGTCCAAATATTCAAATACCACTATTAGAAAATTGATAAATACAAATAGAAATACCGAGGGAAAATTTTTGTCAATAAATTTCTGAGGAATTTTACTGACGGAAATATTTTCTTGTTTGTCAATAAATTTCTGAGGAATTTTACCGACGGAAATATTTTCTTGGTATATACTAAGGGAATTATAGTGGGAAACAAATGAAACAAAGCAAAAAAAAATAATAGCGTATCATTTTTACTAATAGAATTACCGACGAAATGAAAAGTCATTAATAAATAGTGATTTCCTTTATAATTGACATGATAAATAGTGTTCACAGCTTACAAACAGAATGAAAAATAATTGGTAAATTCTATCTGTAAAATCATTGATAAATTGTGAACACTGTTCATCATGTCAATTATAAAGGGAATCACTGATGAAAAATTTCATTGGTATTTTTTAAAGAGCTCCAGAACTGTTCACTTTCTAATTGCACTGTTAATTGTTGTTTCTTTATGGACAAAATCATTGATGGATTAAAAAGTTATCGGTGTTATTTGGTGATTTTTAAAAAATATTCAATTAATTTAAAATTTTTATTTAAATATTACAGACGGAATCATCAACGAATTGAAAAATCATCGGTGATTGTTGGTGGTTTCTGAAAACTTTTTATGAAATTAAAAATTTAAATTAAATATTACAGATAAAATTACCAACAGAATAATTAAAAAATATTAATATTTAATTATCTTTCAGTAAAATCATTGGTAACACGTCCCAATAAAAAGCCTAAATCCTTTTATTTTATAAGAGACAGACTTATTTGTTATTCTTCTTCTATTACTACTATTTCTTCTTCTTCTTTTTTTCTATATTTAAAAAAAAAATAATTTATGCATGCTTATGCTAACTGCATTACTTTCATACAGCAACATGACATCAACAATTTAAAATTTATGCATGACAAAATAGTTTCATCATGTAATATTAACATCAATAACAATAATAATAATACCTATCTAGATATGGAAAAGCAACACTACCGTCGCTTAATTCTACACAATTCACCATTAATATATAGGAGAAAGTAAAGAGACATTGACTGGTAATGCTTAAAGGCTATTACCTCTCACTTTCATTAGTTTTGTAATTTAGCAATTATGGTGAATCCATTATGTATGTGTTTGCAGGTTATCCCTTAATTGTACTCCTACCTTTCTTTATCATTATTAATTATTTTATATTCTAGGTAAACCAAATCTTCACAGTTTATGTGGCAGAATTAGCAGAGTATATGAGAAATTTGGTTAATAATCGAAGATTTTCACTTAAAAAAAATTCAAGAATAAAGATATATTTATTTGTTATGTTTTATAAATATTATCTCCATTTAACAAAAGCTCTTAAGTGCACAAGTAAATAAACTGGAGTGTGAATTTTAGAAAATTAGATCCACTGTTCAATTTGCTGCGTGAAGTGTCTAACCGAGCACAACATTTTGATCAATGGAGTATTATTTGTTCAGTGTATAGCACCAAAGTTGGGAAGAATCATATCCCAAACTCAGTGGACCCCAGATAAGATGCGGGCATAAGAACGCTGGCCATTAAAGGATGCTAAAGACTTGGACGACGACAATGGTGTTCGAATAAGATTCAAAATGAGCAGGATTTTACACAGACTGTGTGAAGTTGAAATGATCTCAGCAAAGATGACTCCCCCCATGTTTTAATTGATGACATCATAGGCGAAACAAACTTTGGTTAAGGAACGCTGATAGAGCCTTAAGTATCTTATTAGGGGATTGGCAACCCTTTACATTCGGATTCTTGAATGGATTTTCATGGGCATCACTAGGCTTTGTCTCTACTCTCCCGGTGCACGGCACCTTAAAGAGTTTATTTCGGTGATTTGTGTTTATTTTAATTAATTTTATAAATTTTAAAATTAATAATTATATAAGTTTTTAGTGATATTAAAAAAATTTAAACTTATAATTATTAAAAAATAAATTTAAAATCTAACTAGTTAAATTATTTTTCAGAATTTAATATATTTAATGTATTTGTTGTTTGTTAAGTTGTTATTTTATTGTTCTACTCAAATCATCAAATAACTATCTATGTTCTTTATTTTTTTTATTTTAAAAATGCATGACTTTAACTACTTTTCTTCATGGATTCAAATACCTTGTCAGTTTGTTTTTGGCAAATCTCAACCATTTATTTCCCATATCCTAATCTTCCTTTTATTCTATCCAAATTTAGACATTTTATTGTGTAATAATGGTTACATACTTATGGTGCGTGATCAAGTATGCCTGTCTTGTTTTTTAACCTAAAGTAGCTCTTTATTAATTTTATTGTATGAAACTTATTCTCCCCTTAAACATCTTATTAATGGCATTTAAAAAAAACTGGTAATTAATAGGCAATGAGATCAATTTTATTCTTTTCAAGATAATTTTATCTTTATTTGTCAATCATATTGATCTTTTGTGTTAATTTTAATTTTAAACTCTCTTTTTTCCTCTTTATTACTTATTAGAAGTTTCCTTGATTTATTTATGTGATGAACTTTTTAGTGACTTTTCATCAATTTATTTAGAAACAAATAGAAAAACAATATTTTAAAATTTTAATCAGTTATAAAATATAAGAAAAAACACAAATATCAAAGTCAAATAATACAATAAATAAAAAAAATCTAATTTAGCAATCAACTTGAGAAAAGGAAGGAAAAAATAATTGAAGAATTTAACTACTAGGGTGGTAGTTTTATGATGTTTAGTGTTAGGTTATATACATATATATATTATATATCAAATTTTATGAATAATATTTATCCTATTTTGGTTGAATTTGAAATACCAATAGAAATCACAAAATTGATTTAAATTCGGTTTTATAATTACAAAAATTAAACTAAAATCTTCAATTTAATTTGGTTTTTTGACTCCGTAACTCTGCTATATATTAATTTTAAGTTATATTTTTAGGATTATTTTCTTAAAATAATTTATGTATAAAACAAAATCATCCATAATTAACTAGTTAAACTTTAAAAAATCTAAGTTTTATTTGTAGTAAAGTTTTGAATCAATCATAAAAAATAACTTAACTTTTTATTGAAGTTAAAAACTATTTTTAATCAAATATAATTAATAAGAGATTAAATGGAAAATAAAAATCAATTCACAAAAACTATTAGATAATCTCCACTTTTATAAACTATCAGTCAAATCTTATTCTTGACAGTCTCCATGCAGCCTTTGAACAGAAACCCTGATCGATCTGTGGCTATTGAGCACTTTGAGAATTCGGAGGCAAGAACAGCCAAATGCCATTGGCTCACACATTTAGGCATCACCATCACAAGACTTGGTCAAATAGACGATCGACACGTCAATGAAAAATTGTAAAGGTTGCCTCTGCCATTCGAGTATGCACTGTGCAGGCTGCAAGGTGGTCCAACTAGCTAGGGCTTTCTCGCAAGCTTTTAACGCTGTCCCCTTCTCTCTTTTCTCCTCCTTATTTTCTTTTCTTTCTGGTCCCTTCCCTCGGCTTTCTTTTCTTTTTTTTTCTTACTTTAATGCATTGTGATCATCCTGTAGCTTGAACTTTGAGGAACAGATCATAACACGGCCCAAAACATGAAAAGAAATTGCCCAGAAACATGCATGACCGCGCAACCTGATGGAGGGAAGCCTCCTCTCCAGTCCTTGATAATAAACAATCCAGTTTGAGAAAGAACAGCTGACCAGAAACACATCGCTAAATTTATCAGAGGACTAAGAATTTAGATCAGACATTGCTGTCAAATTAGAAACGACAGTTGACAGTGAAAAAAATAATCAAGAAGAAAAGGAAGAATGAGCTCATTTTATTCCCATAATCTAGCCTTAGTTTCTACTCCTTTGAGACATGTTTTATTACTTTATATCTCGGAGGATCATTCTCAAATCCAAGATATCTTATAAAAAACCAAGTTGTCATGTGGTGTCAAATTTCATGGTTTTTTTTTATTTATTTAATTTTCTTAATAAATCTGACTTGGGTTTGAGCTTTTTTTAAATCAAGGCATTTCCATCGTGATAATATGTGGAGAACCACCTTGTACTTAGGGACAAATTGAGAGAAGTTATATTGAGATTTTTTTTTTTTTGGTGTTTTAAATATTTTTTTTTAATATATATATTATTAAATTATTTTAATATATTAATATTAAAAATAAATTTTTTTTAAAAAAATATTACTAGTAAATCAATAGTGGGCCCAAAAGCCCACCACTCAAAATGTGCTTTAAGCTCAGAAAAAAGAAAGCTTAGCCGAGTTCAATTAAACCGAATGAAGTGCCTTCACGATCATCTCTCAGATGTAGCAATCATAATGTTTGATTCAGAATTACATACAGCAACAGACATGTTGGCACTCTTTGTGGTTAGAGCCCGAAAAAGGGTCCAGGATTTTTCATTCAATCAAGTCATAGTGTGTTTGTCTCAAAAATCATGGGTAGCTAGAAAAAGGGATAGCGGCACCAGCTGCTTTTCTCATTAAAAGGCTATAAAACTTGCCCCATTGATGATTCTGCATTTTTATAATCATCACCTGCAGTACTCCATCGCTTTATTATAGGCATGAAAACAGAAGAACGCTGATATCAAAGCTTCTCTTGAGATTTTAAGAAATTGGGTTGCTACTGTGAAGAGCAGACCTTTTGCTTTTGTAGGACTGCATGTAGCATCTCATTTTATTGCTGTCAATTTTCTTTACCACGAAAGAGAAACATTACTGTTCATTTGTATGACTAAAATACACTCTTGGAACCTTTTTCTGGCTAAAATTCATCTCTAGTTTGTTTCAGCGGTAAAAGATCAAGAATCTGGTCTCTTGAAACACAATTTTCTCGCATTCATCAGCAAACAACAGGTACTAAATTACCTCCCTCCCTCCCTCCCTCCCTCTCTCTCCCTCTCTCTCTCTCCCTCTCTCTCTCAAAAGAGAGCAAAGATGTGTTGTATGTTGTGATTACCAAGCTACTGAAACAATTTGGTAAATTTAAGCTGTTTCGGTTTCTGTAAAGCTTGGATACAGTAGTAAGGCCAGGAAAAGAAGTACTAGCATGATGTTTGAATATCTTGGCTGAAAACGATTGATATCTTAGCTCCTCTTTTATCTTCTTGACCCGCAGATCAGAACTGGGATATTTCTAATTCTTGTGTTCTTTTTCAACCCTTTTTCCTTAGTGCTGGCACAGAAAAGCTTCGAAACATACAGTACCTTCTTTGGAAAGAGACAACCCAAAAACTAGATCACCATTTTTGCATGAGAGATCTCACTCGCACCGTCTTGAATTATCAGACCCTTCATTTATATTCCTATTCTTGCTCTACTTCCCTTGTTTCCTTCTCTTTTATCTGCTTTTGCTTTTCTTTTTTTGTTTGTGTTGTGACAATTTCTAATTGCTAAAAAATGGGTTATATTTTCAGATTTGTTGTTCTCATTTGGTTGTATTTTTCTTTAATCAGGACCGTATGATCATAGATTCCTGATCAAGCCTTGTCTTGGTTTAAGAGCTGCCCTCCTTTCTCTTGAGGTACCACTCTCTCAATTTTCCTTGAAAAATCCGTTCCTCTTTCTCTGGTGCCTGACTTTACCTCAGGCATTCTGTCCCTTGCTGCTGATCCTCTATTATGATAGTTTAAAGCCTGGATTTGGACACCAAAGTACTCAATGTTCCATTAGAAGGTGCATTGGATTTATGGTGCACCCTAATCCCATCACCATACACGTATCCAAATCCAACATTTTGATTGATCCTCGACATCCCAGATTCCTATGCTGTACTGTCGTGTATGAACTGTGTCCTACGATTCTCCCCCATCATTCAACAACTTGAAGGGGAATCTTGTCCATCCAAATTCTACTTGAATTGTAGTTACAAGGCTAAACATGACCCAGTAGGTCCATCCAATGATCCATTACTTTAGGATTTGGCTTGGACGAAACTAATAGAAAAACCCCTTCTTCTTTTTTAATGTAGAAGGTTAAGTTGACTCTAATAAATTTAGGATTAACTATTTTAACTTGTCATCCAGATCTTGAACCCAGTAGGTTTTTAGCAATGATTCTAATTATTAAAACAGCACTAAAGTTTCTGTTTTTTAAAAAAAGAAAAAAACTGTGTAATAGTTTATATAGTTGGTTGTGGCGCCGATTCTTAGAATGCACCAAAACAAGCTTGGTTGAGGTTTCTTACTATTCTGTCCTGCTATTCTCTTGTAAATTAGCTTAGGTTAACTTAATAATTTATTTTTGAATTAGGTTATCTGTTTAATCGGGTTGAAAATTAATCTAATTAAACTAAAACAAGACCAATGTGAAATTTTTTTCTCAAAATCATGATTGTTTTAATTAATTTAGATTGATTTGAATGTAGATTGATGCACTAAATCGAGGACACAAAACTTAAACCAAGTTATAGGCGACCAGGCTAGATTTTATAACTATTCTAGAAAGCGAACTCCATAAAGGGCAATTCGCATCACTTGACACTTTCTTTCTGATAGCATGGATACGTAAAGTCAGGGGTATTTTTACCCTTCTCGGACCGATTGCTCCCGATCTGGTTTTCCCAAAATAGCTAAGAAGAAGGGACCTCGCGACGGAGTTCTTGAGGAGGAGCGATACTTGACCAGTGGGTCAAAGCTGAAAGCCCCATTCATCTGTAAATTGATTGGATTTGGCCCCATTTATCTAGGCACTAGAGAAGAGAAGCTGCTTAAGGTATACCAACTCCTCAGTCCCTTGAATCCACGAACGAATGTTAGGCCAAGAAGCGCCGTTGTGTAGGGTTTTGGTGGCTGTTTCGAGAAATTTAACCTCGACCCCGATGCCCGTTTTGTAAGGAGAGCCAGACCTCTTAGTTTTAAAAAGAAATCACACAGCTCCAAGATTTTTTTTAAAAAAAAAATTAGCATTGTTTAAAATAAAATGGAGTGATTAACACAGTTTATAATTTTTTTACTTGAAATAATATAGGTTGTATATATCCTGATTGAGAAATTCTAAATTTAAAGTTGTGGCTAGTTAGAAACATTGCACTACAAAAAATAAAATCAAATGATAAATTATAATAAAAAAATAAAAGAAAAAACTAAAAATATAAACTAAGAAGAAGTACAAAAATTCTAGTTATGACATTGTTAATATTATCAAAAAAATCTCAACAATAAAAAATCTAATATCATTAAATAAGATTATTATCGATAACAAAAATATGGATCATAATCTCTTTTTAAAAATAAATTTTTGATACCACTGGTGTTATTGTAGTTAAAGTTTTAGTGTGTCATTAAATTTATTTTATTGATAATTTTCTGATAATACTAGTATTATTGTAGTTATTTTTCTAATAACACTAGTATTAACATGGTTAAAGATTTAATGTGTTATTAAATTTATTTCATTAATATTTTTATAATAATACTAATATTATCTTGGTTAAAGTTTTAGTATATCTCCATTATTATTGTTTTCTTCCTCTTCTCTTCATTATTATATGTGCCATATCTTTTGAAATTCTTTTTGAAATGTCGCATTTTCAAGCAACGACAACTTTAAAACTCGTGTTTCTCTGTATGGAAGCTTTGTTATTTCTTTAAAAAAAAAAAATTGAATTATTTTATTTTATTTTATTTATTGAAATGGTGTTGATAAAAAAACAAAACCCACCATCAATAATAAACCAGAGAGAGAGGGGGATGCGTTAAAAAATAATTACCTTGCTTAAGTCGTGAATCCCAACATGGAGAAAGGGTAATAGTGGAATCTTGGAAAATAATAAAGAGGAGGCATGGAAAAGGAGAGAGGACAGAGATTTCTTGGGCACATCTAGCTCATCTGGGCTTCTGGCACAAGCAAGTGAAGTAAATGGGAGTTTGAAGGCAAACGAGTGCAGACCGCATCCTACAATCAAGAATCCCATGTTCAATGCCGTATAGAAAACACACAACTCTCTTCACTTCTTGCCCACATTTTACTTGGCCTCATTATGTTTTAGGGAAGGTTCTCACAATTGCAGCCAGTAAGTGGATGTGCACACAAGCCAAAGCCCTCATGTCCTCAGCGTCTTCGCATCATCGTATTCATCCCCTCTATCTTCTTAAGATAGGACAAGGGAACCCATCAAGGGCTTATCTCAGAGGAAATAAGAAATTAGCAGAGAAAACGTACAGACATCCAATCCCAAGTCTATGTTCGCTCTTCTCTGATTTCATCTTCATTTTGGCCATTTTCACCCACTCAGTTATTGTTTTTCTTGCTTACTCTCTTTGTTTAATTTCTTTTCCTTCTTTTCTTTCTTTCTATTTTGTAGTGGTACGAGTTTTAAGTATCAAACCTTCGCTCATTGGTTTTTCCCTTCATGTAATGATAGGGTTCTCCTGCTGCCGCTGCTGCTGCTGGAACATGGTGAGAGATGTGGGTGCTGTTACTTGGGGCATTGAGGCATGTGTGGCCTTTGTCATGAGAATATTTGTCAAGCAAATCGGAGTTTTAGGCTTGAGTGGCGGCAGGTCTGGATTCACAAGAAACCACATTTCTTTTATCCAATCATTGCAAAGAGCTCACTTCTTCCTCTTCTTCCTCTTCTTCTGCTTCCTTGGCTTCTGGTAAATGGTGGTGGGGCACGGTGGTGATATTGGCTAGACGGCTCAATCTCTTTATTATGATATAGGACTACTTACTAATCTAGTAATCTTTTGCTTTCACTTTTGTTACTAGCTTTCCTATTTTTTCCCTTCCCTTTCCTCTTTTTTTTTTTTTGGCTGATAGTTTTGTTAATATGTAATTGGCATCCAAATGTTCATGTGGAAGTGCAACAAAAGGCTGGCATGGCATCTTTGATTCTTATTTCTTTCAAGTAATACTAATTAACTTGCTGTTTGGTGTTCTAGTTTTGTGCCTTGACTCCTGTTCAAGCATAGAACAAATTTACCCCGTAGAGAAAGCCAGAAAGAGGTAGGATTTAATTGCAACAAATGGGGGCACCTACCTTCTATGTAGTTCGGTGAGTAAAAGCGTTAAAATATTGGGGTCCCCTAAACCGTACAAACTTCAATGTTTCAGCTCTGTTTCACTGTCAGTCTTTGCTTCTGTCCCTTTTGTTAATTAATTTTTCTTGGGAAATGTAGGGGCTTGATAGTTGATAGTATGTGCTCCAATCCTCAAGGAATTATTATGTCACCTTCATCCATATCAATTATGTATCGAGATTTTTTCATGAAATTTCCCCTTGTATGGTGCTCGGCCTGTTTAATTTACTGCGAATGGTGTGTTTTTAAGGGTGTGCATTATGAAGTGACAATGCATCATTTCTAAGGTCCAGGGAACACTGAAACTGCTTGTCAAGGGCCTCTAGAACTAGGCCTTGCTCTACCATAGGGCACTATGTGCAGCCTATGTGTGTGACTGTATGAATTAAAATACCGGGCAGGAAAAACTAAGGCAAGGACAAAAAAGTGTGAGATCTGATCTGCGACAGATCAGAGAGACCCCATATTTCGTGGAAATGTCACTTTGTGTTTTCTGTCTTTAGGTTTTGGTTTGCATGTGGAAGGAGCTTTGTTTAATAGCCCCGCAGTTTATTTTACAGGATTTTATGTCTTGAATAAAGGGGAGGGAATGATGGTGGGTTCCTGGAAAGAAGAGTTTGAATAGAAAAACAAGTGAATTAGCCCTTGGCATTTCTTATATACCACGCAGTTTTTCTTCTTCTTTTTTTTATACAAGACCCTTGAATTCTTGTTATATCCGTTCTCAAAAATCTCCAGGGAGGGGGGCGATTGCAGGGCTGGAATCAACTTTAATAGAAGATTAAATTAACAGAGGAAAAAAACAAGACTGGGAGACAAGTTTTTTACTCCCATCTGTCCCGTGTATAGTTCCTTTGACTGTTTCTGATTAACCCGTGAACATTTGTTGCCAAGGTAAGACAACAAATTTCAACAGTGATTTATTTCAGAGATTTACTTTAATAGTAATAGAACATGATCATAATCGATACCGACTAAATTCAGAGTTCAGTGTTATGAACAACAACAACTGAATTGTAGTTATCTGAACATTGTCTTGCACCTCATGGAGAACAACAGCCAGTTTCCTGTAGAGGGGTCACCGCTCCGCTGTGGGTGTATCGTCCACTTCAAGTATATTTTCCTAAAACCGGTAGCATCCAGCGTTCTCTGGTTTGTTTGCAAGCCTAAACAATGATCAAAACATTTCCACTTTTACAAGGCAAAACATTTCCTTACCTGCCTTGAAATGGATATCTTGTTCTTTTGTTTGGCCAACAGAGACTCCAAATAACTCTTCAAGCTATAGCTAGATACCAGCAAATAAGGGCAATCAAGACTGGCCCCATCCCATCCAATGGATGATGTAGCATCGGGTGCCTTTGTTTTCCTCGTACCTTCAAATTACAGGAACCGGATCAAGTGCATGGCAGCTAGCTAGCATCCGCGCTCTTTAGGTTCATGTGCCACGTTACATTAGTTCTCCAAGTCATTTAGGTTAAAAAAAAATAAAAAAGATTAAATAATAGGTTCAACTTAATAAGTATTTTGGTGCTAAACCAAAGTCTAGGCCAACGAGGACACACTTGGTAATGGGCTGAACTAAGTGGATAAAGAAATTTGGATTAAGAGGAGGCGAGATATAAAAAAGACGTGATCCAGACTTGTAAAAGAAGCTAACTATGGATTCATGGAGATGGGCAATTACAGTGATGCATCCTGGAAATAAGGAAATAATAGAGAAAGTGGATGGTTAACGCATGGTTATCCATAACTTCTTCTATATAACTTAAGGCTAAAAGAAGATAATTAATACACAACAACAACAACAAAGAATCAACAACAATTGTGAATTTGCAACAATTGAGCTACGTAGATAGCCTTTAAGGGATGTTTGTGGGTTAATAAGATGGTGTTAAGATCAAGAAGAGGTCTGGAGCACATAAGGTGATCAACCTCACAAAAAGTTTCACACTTTAATTGTATTTAAATTTTTTATGAGATTTTATAAGTTCAATCTATTAATATTTTATTAGTTATAATTGGTCGAGGTTTAGAAAAAGGCCTGCAAGTTAGGCCTAAAAGATATTATTATAGCTAGCTTTTTTTTGTTTTTGGACTTTTTAATTTGTTAATGGCCTTAATTGCTTTCCTTTTTATTTTTTGAATTTCATAATTGGTTTAGGTTAGTTTTTAAGTTTATTTAAAGAGTTGTGAAACCTCTTATAGAGTCAAATTACTTAAATGAAAAAATATTTAGTAGTAAATTTCGAAATAAAGTTCAAAATAAAGTTTTTATGTGATGATTTTATTCAACATACTATAATGTTAAGCTGTTATTCTTTGTGCTTTTTAAGCATTCGTCACATGGTGTACCCCAATCATTCCTGCCCTCATCATCCCGGTCCTCATTTTAAGCCATGAAACTTGGTCATCAAAATTTAAAGCTGCTGTGACTCCATTGAGGTTTCTTCATTCTCACGACCAGCTGGCTGACAGCAGGAGGTATTTGACGAGCACGTAAACCTCTCGTTAACATTAATTTCTATATTATCTTAATGAAATAATGCCTACAAGTTGAAAACCATGATCATGAATTCCAGATTCAGCAATGGGGCATGGCTTTAGCCTAGGGTGACTGCAACAATGATTTGAAGTCATGGTTTGTTTGTTTACCAGTGATCTCCTCTATTAACCAGAAAAATTAACACACTGCTACCCTTTCCTCAATCCTTCTACAGGTCAATGAGGCTCCTCTCAAGGTAACAAAAATAATTCTCAATTCCATTATCTCAATTATGCATTATTGCACGTAACCATGTCCTCTAAGATGTAATTGTTTGAGTGGTTATTACAAACATCCTCCCCCGGTTATCCAAGCAGGCTGGAATTCCACAAAATCTTTCATACTGTCGTTCTTCTGTGCATCTAACAGCATGATATGGTATGGTAACAGTCCATAAATACCCAAAACATAAACAAGAGCTAAACTCTTCCTGACATTGGATGAAAACTCGTAGCCGCTGTCACCTGTCTACAGGTTTCCATTATGTCTTCACGGATACCAGTCACACACAAACCACGGTTATGTTTTCCAGCGCGAGAGGTTTCGCACTCATCTATCTAAAAATTATGCTTCAATCATGTCATGTGAATAATAAAAATAATGCATTTGGATATCTGAACGAAATCTACAAACTTGTTTTTTCTGTCATTTTCTACTTGCAGAAGCCAATGTACAAACTCCATCAGCAACAAGCATTTTAGATCGCCAAGGATTGAGTACTTGTGGATCCTGATCCCGCAATTCAAATCATGATCGAATCTTGAACCATCGTAGAAAGAGAGAATCTTTGCATCTGATTGTATCTACCATTTTCTTCAACATGCCTGAAGGTTACAACCCAGAAATTGATGCATGATCACATTGTTACATGAACATAAATGCTTACACCCAACTTCTAATAACCAGCATGACCAGTTAAAATAGCATAATTTGGAGAGAAACTTCCTTTTAAATGATGCTCTCTTTTCTATCCATCAAAGCTTTATTCAGGAAAATCATAGTTTCAGTTGCCAAAATTATTCCTGATTCGGACATTATACGTGTGAAAATATAGGCACCATGAAAAATGTGCTAGTGACCCTGTAGCACAGTACCATAAACCAAGCATACCAAAAAAGGACAACAAATTTCCAGAAGGAAAATATTTGAGTTAGCAATAAAGCACCCTAACTGGTACAAATCACTTATAAGTCTTTTATATTCAATGACGTCTTCAACAAATGCCAGAACAGGAAGCAAAACCAAGTAGCGGGAGCACAGGTAAATGCATGTCATAAAGTTGTATACTGTTTAACTACTGTCTTTGAGATGAAAAATCGTAGGCTGTGAATTTAGGCTAGTTGAAGAAGCATCTACTCCGTTGGGAAAAAGCTCCCATTTCCCCACCCAAGCCCCAAACCTACAACGGCTCCTTCCAAAAGATATATTGAAAAAAAATCCCAGAATTGAATATCTTGGTGCAGGCAAAACATGGTTTAGGTTTAGGTGAACGAAAAAAGATATCATTTGTTCCAATAACACCACAATTTCATCCATGGTTCATGTAATTGACTTGAGAAGGTAACCACACCAACCCTCGCACTCTAGGTTCCAGATTCTCAAAGATAAAGATCCATATCATTTTCTTCATTTTTGGTCCTAAAAAATGCAAATGGAAGGAGAATTCGAACACAAACTAAGCGAGACCAAGAATGTCGTATGGTGTCCCTTTGTTACCTTAGGCTCAAATATGTTCCATACTGTCATATTGGTCTCCCCTGTCCTATGATTCTACTACCACTACTGCCTACTATTTGCTGAGCAATCCTATTGGAACTGACAGCAAAAGTTTTGCCTGAAGTGATCAACCTTGTGATGTTAGAAAGACAATGAACTCGTCGTTAATACGAGGGCTTAGATGCTCCTGATGTTGGATGAAATAATTTTGCACGAGAACTCATAACTAACAAGTACATGTAATGAAGAAACTGTGCGGCCACTGGGCAACGAGGCTAAACGAGAATGGGATGATTCTAGCTTCTACATCAATTGAAAGCATCATCCATTTCTCAAGGTTGTGTACAGAAAATCAGGGGAAAATAGAAAACATGTATAATGTGGGGAAACCACAATAAAGATCAGTGAACAAAATGGAAGAGCATAAAACTCAGGCAAGAGAGGTGTCTATAACAAAATAATCACAAAATAAACCCAATCTGAACACCAGTTTTCTGAAAAAAATGCTGGGTACTTGATGGTAGGAACTATCACCAATTGAGGCAGGCATTAGAAACAAGAAAGCATATAGCATGTTACCTAAACAGTTGCCCATCGCTTGCTGCACTATCTATAATCGCCTATATTGCAATCGAAAGAAAAAGCAATGGCGAATCAAATAACGCTTGCGATGGAGCTGGGACAAAATATCAAGACAAGCACGAGTTTTGATTATTCATGTTATGCATACACTACAGTCCAGTGTGACGAGTACACAATGATTACTGGGATTATTGAAATGAAAGCACAAAATATGAAGCAATAATTCAAATGATTACCAAAAATATCCACTGAAAACACATTAGAATTATAAGCAATGAACTGCATCATTGCTTTACCACATTCTCCACATACCACTTATAAGTATCAACTAGCCCATCCTTCAGCGAAATCTTTGGCACCCAACCCAACCCCAACAACTTAGAACTATCCATTAACTTCCTTGGAGTCCCATCGGGCTTTGATGTATCCCAAACAAGCTCCCCTTCAAAGCCAACGGCCTCCTTCACCAACTCTGCCAACTCCTTTATAGTAACCTCCTTCCCACTCCCCACATTTAAATGCTCCAATCCACTATACTTGTCCATCAAAAACACCACCGCATCTGCCAAATCATCAACATGCAAAAACTCCCTCAACGGACTCCCAGTTCCCCAAACAACCACTTCTTTGGCCTTATTCACCTTCGCCTCATGAAACCTCCTCATCAATGCCGGCAAAACATGAGAATTTTCTGGGTGAAAATTATCATTCGGCCCATATAAATTCGTGGGCATTCCAGAAATAGCATCCCAATTATACTGAATCCTGTAAGCCTGACACATTTTGATCCCAGATATCTTCGCAATCGCGTACCACTCATTCGTTGGCTCTAAAGGCCCAGTAAGCAGTGCATTTTCAGGAATCGGCTGCGGTGCTAGCTTAGGGTAGATACAAGAGGATCCCAAAAACAACAGTTTCTTCACTCCATGTCGAAAAGAGGAGTCGATTACATTAGTTTGGATCTGGAGATTTATGGCAATGAAATCGGCAGGATATGTATTGTTAGCGTGTATTCCGCCAACTTTAGCGGCGGCTAGGATAACATATTGGGGCTTTTCAGCGGCGAAGAAGGAGTCCACATCGGATTGGCGCGTGAGGTCGAGCTCCGAGTGGGAACGGAGAACGAGATTGGTCAAGCCGAGGGATTGGAGCTTGCGGACAATTGCGGAGCCGACTAGACCACGGTGTCCCGCCACGAAGATTTTTGCAGATTTGTCGGTGAGGAAATCGGAGGAATCTGCAGAGAAATGTTAGAGATTAGAATTTGATTCATAAGAAAACAAAAGCGGAGCTAAGATCTGAGAGAAGAGTGATTGGCAGAAGAGAAATGTGTGAGAATTGAAAGAGTTTACCGTGGGTGGGGCCGCCCATTTGGAGGAGGTGGTACTGGGGATTTAGCGCGGAGGGAGGTGTAGCGCTGTTCGGCGACAGAAAATCAGTTAAGAAGGAAGTCTTCCGGTTTCAACCGCAATACTTCAAATAGATGGGAGGTAAATGCGGGTTGGGCATGCTCTATATTACGCGGTATAACCCTGTATTCATGGGCCGGGTTGCTTGGCATTTTTCAATTTCTGCGCCTAAAAAGCCTAACTATCATGGTCGGTGAGTTAAATACTTAAAATAATATTATTTTAGATAAAATAAAATTCTCGGAGTTATCAATGGAAACAGGTCAACTTTCAAAATACTTGGGAAAAAAAAAAAAACTCGCTTTAAATAAGGCTTCAAACCAATTAGTTAGGCCAACTTAGACAAATTTCAAGTTAATCATTCACACTAATTTTAGTTGAAGAACCATGCCAAAAAAACACTGAATTTTAGTCATCAATTCTTGGACCATAGGAAAGCAATTGCTTTTGTCAATTAAGGGGAATGGAAGCATCATAGGAAATTGCTTTTGATTCCATATTTGTCTGATTTTTGAACCTAAGCACATAGATATGAAACTCATGTGGTTTGGTCCGACTCGGTGAATAAGCCTTTGAACATGGTTAAAATATAATAATAAATTAAAATTAAGAATCATCTAGGTGGTAGTCAAGTGGTAAGGATTTGGGATCAAGGAGTTTGTTCCCTCTGTGGTCTCAGGTTCGAGTCTTTTGTTGCTCATATGATGGCCACTGGAGGCTTACATGGTCGTTAACTTCAGGGCCCGTGGGATTAGTCGTGGTGCGCGCAAGCTGGCCCGGGACACCCACGTGAATCTAAAAAAAAAAAAATCAAAATCAAGGTTAGTGCCAAAGGAGCGAACGAGTACAAACCAAGAAACTCAACCCACTCTTTCCAAAAGGAAAAGCAAGATTTTATTTAAAAAAAAAAAGAAAGAAAAACAAAAGGGTATCAAACACTCAAAGCAAAATGATTAAAAAAGAATTCGTTGAGATATTGTCAAGGATCCGTGCTCATAATAATTGACCATTACAGCTAGCTACCTAACCATGTCGAGTAGCAAAATGATGGAACATGTCGAGATATTATTGACGAGTGTTCATGCTAGAGGTGACGGAATAGAAACGGAGAGCCGAGATGCAATCCAATTTGTGTTGAATCCCCTTTTAAGATCACGTTGCTGGTCTTGAGGGAATGAATTGTAACAGCGATTTGTTGCTAGCACTGCCTAGGCTAATTCATTCCTTGTTTTCAGAAGCCATCTTGCATTATATGGAGGAGCAAATGTATCGGATACTTTAACTTAGTGAAAAATAATATATATTATATTTTAAAATTTTATTTAATAATTTAAATTATTAAATTAAGATAATTTTTTATTATAGTATCACAGTTTTGATAATTAAACAATCATGAATTTAAATTTTATTATTTTTTATTTATTTAATAAAAATTAAACATAATATAATATATATTTGTATAAGTTTTAAATTTAAAAAAAATTATTTTAAGAAATATAATATAAAATAATATAAAATATATTCTAAAATATTAACTAATAATTTAAATTATTAAGTTAAGACAAAATATTATACAAAATTCACAAGATAAATTATAGAATAAGTTAACAATTATGTTTAGTATATAACATGCAAACTTATAATTCAAAAAATATTTAAGATTATTAGGTTATCATGTTGAGTTATTGAGTCAATTCATTGATTTCTTAATCAATATTTTTTTTAATAAAAAATAACTTTGTTTTATATTAACTCTACCGGGTTTAATGAGGTAAATAAATCACAAATCTTCTTCTCAAGTGAATATCCGTTATATTCAAAATAAAATTCAATCCAGTTTAGACACTAAATCATGTGTTTTTTAAAGCAACCTATAAGAACTATTAGAATGTACTGAGTTTAATAATCTTAAGGCCTAAGGTTTCACTCGGATGATGGTTAAAAATATAGTTTATTAAGGTTTTATTTATTTGATAAAAAGTGATTTTTTAAAAATTATTTTTTAAATTTTCTTGTTTTATTTAATATTATAAAAATTAGTCAAAGAAAAATTTGATTTAATTTTTAGAAAAATATTTTCATTTTATCTTGGGTGGAAAATATTTTTTAGAAATTATGAAAAATTTAAAAATATCATATTATTTGATAATTATAACAAATTTGATTTTCAAACTTTTGATTGCTATATATTTTGTTTTGAATCTTTTTTTTTTAATTTTACCCCTTACAATTTAATTTTTATATTAACATTATTTCTTATTTTTATGATTATTATTTGCTTTTCTCTTATTATTTTTTTAATTGAATTTATTTACCTATCAAATTTAATTTTTATTATTTTGATTGTTACTTATTTTATTTAAATTAATTTATCAAATTATAATTATAATTATTTTAATTTTATCATCTTTTAATTTTTTTTTATCTATTAGATTTTATCTCTATTATTTTTATTTTTATTTATTTTATTTAAAATAATGTATGAAAATATTTTTTTTATTTTATTCTCATTCAATTTTTTAATTTATAAGATTTATTTTTTATTATTTTAATAAACTTGAAAAAAATACTTATAAGTTATTGTACAGCTTATTTTTTATTATATAACCAGATACTGGAAAGTATTTTTTAATTTATTTTTTATAATATTATCAAACATCAAAAAATAATTTATTTTTTAAACAAACTATTTCTTAAAATAAAATTATTTTCAAGCAAATAAACAATAAACAGGATAAATGTTAAAGAGGTGAAAACTGAAAACCAGTGGGAAACAAGTAAAACGCAAAAAATAAAGTCTTGTCCTTCCATGAGTGTCATAGAATTCTTGTTGTGCTTCTACTGAAAAACATGGACGTGTTAATTCACCTAACGCATATCAGTGCGCCTTTTTCTTTCCACCTCTTTCCATGAACGTTAAAGCATAGACTTGGCAGGTGAAGTCAATTAAGCAAAGCAACTGCGAAAGGCAATGGTGACTGAAAGTCAGTAAATGCTCACTTCTTTATGCTCTAAGACAGCGATCTTCTTCTATAAATGGGGACCTACAAAGATTTTATTTTGCACCACAAAATTGAGACCTTAAAGGAGGACGAAATGGGGTTTAACATTGGATCAGCTCTTACAATGGTAGGCATTGTATCATGCCTTGTATCTGTTGCAGATGCTGCTGAAGGAATTGCCGTTTTCTACAAACCTCCTTATACTCGTAAGCTATAAATTTCATGACTCCCTGAATCTCTGAACTCTGTTTTCATCTATTAACGTCAAATATTCATATCTGAGGTGCTAATTAATGCAAGAGTTAATCTGTCTTCGTTTATCCTACCATTTAGAGATTCTTGTGCACTTGTAGTTATTTTCTTGACGGTACAGTATATGTTTCTTACACAAGTCCTCGATGATGAGCTAGCTGGTCTTGTGGCAAAAATTATGGTGTTAGTTCGACCATTTACAAATCAATTTTCTATGAACATAATCTTTGAATATTTGTAGCCTCCAAATGCTATGGAAATAGGAATAATGGAGTTATGGTAGCTGGGGTGAGTGATGCCCTGTGGAATGGTGGAGCAGCATGTGGGAGAAAATACAGAGTGTCATGCGTACGAGGAGCAAATCAAGCTCCAAGACCTTGCAGAAAAGGTAGTGTAGTAGTCACAGTAGTCGATTTTTGTAGAAAAGGATGTAATGGAGTCATCAATCTCTCTCAAGATGCTTTCTCCCGAATTGCTGATCCTAATGCTGGCAAAGTTGTTGTTCGATACGATCAGTAAGTGTAACTATATATACTTATTCATTGCTACTGTACCATAACATATCTTGTTCTTTAACAATAGCTAAAAACTATTATTTGTTGATTTTTTTCCCCTCGATTTGCAGGGCATGAGGGCTTGAGGGTTTAATCATGGGAGAAGGCTGTTTCGAGACCAAGCTGATCTTGTTACTGTTAAAATAAAATGGCTCGTTATGGAACTGGTCTGTTTCATCGATGATGTACGACTTATGTAAAATCAATCGATCAAATGAGAATTGTCTGAAGTGAGATACTTTTGAGATCGTACTGTAGTTTTTCATGTGAAATATATGGACTTAACTGCAGTTTGTGCTCCGGCCGGCGAATTCCGTGTCAGAAAAATGCATGAACGCGCACCCACTGTATTAATTTAACATTAAATTAACAAGTTATCCATGTAAAACTAGCATAACCGTGCGTTAATCCTCTTAACTGTTTGGTTAATTAGTTTACAACAATTATTCCCTCTTAAAATGAAAATCCCTTTTGGATTATCTCGAAGTCGGAGAGGAATTGTGTCTATGCTAAGCAGGCAGATTCACTGTAAATTCTCTTTTCTTATACTACAAGAATGAAAAACACAAGTATTTTCGTTGACCAGGGGAGCATCCAAAGAAAACAATAAAAATGCAAGATTTAGAGCAATGAAAGCTGTATGCATCAAGTATTTTCTATACGCAGACATATACAAGTGCTATTGTTTTGGGGGAAATCATTTATGAAATAATTCTTGCTCTTGTACCAAGAGAAAAAGATTTATTAAAAATTTAAAATAATAAAAGTGATGTTAATCTAAATAAAATTATACTTATCATTAACACGAATTAACTCAAATATATTTAGGTTAGGTTAGAAATGAAACCAATTCAATTACACATCTAATAACAATAACAGCAATAAAAATAGTGGTTATGAACAATATAATTTTTAGAAAAAAAAATCATTATGGTTATTTTCTACTCCCATAAATTGGAATGGAAATATAATAAATATTTTTTAACCACTCTTCCCTTTGCAAAAGCTATCATTAGTGCGCCTAACAAGGGATTACCAAATTCTAAGAATCATTTGGGGCAAATCATGTGAACGTAAACTTGCTAAAGCATACTGTGTCCTCCTTCTCCCCAATTTCTGGACCTTTTTAATTTTTTGCAGTAGATACCTCATGGGCCAAAAGGCCTGGAGAAAAAAAACCGAACAACAATTGTTCGGACCAGGCTAATTTGAGAAGATATTTGCCTGAAGAAAACCATGAGAGATGAGAGGAAAGACAAGTCACCGATACGTCATCGTGCCGATGATGTCCTAGTTTAATCGACTCCATGGATACCATACGTGACAAAACATGAATCAGATTGTTTAATTTTAATTGTGATAATATTGTTTTTTAAAGTATTTTTTATTTTAAAAAAATATTTTTTATTTTAAAAAAATATTTTTTATTTTAAAAAAATATTTTTTATTTTAAAAAAATATTTTTTATTTTAAAAAAATATTTTTTATTTTAAAAAAATATTTTTTATTTTAAAAAAATATTTTTAATATCATTACATTAAAATATTAAAAGACACTAAAAAATATATTAATTTTAAAAAAATCAAAATTATTAAAAAATAATATATTTTTTAAATGCAAAAACAAAAAACCAGAATTGATGTGGGTGCTTCTCCCGTATATTCCCAGTCAACATAAAACCGTAAAAATTAGAACTACAAGAACTCAACCTAATTGGGCCTCAACTCTTGAATTTGGCCCAACTAGCATCGAAGAAGGCAAACCAGGCCGAACCCAGTTGACTTGCAAACGAGGGCAAACCTCCAACGAGTCCTTCTCGAGGACTCTAACAACGATGTCCGTTTCCATTCCTCTTGAATTTGATTTAAAAGTTACAGAAATTCTTCGATTAATCTATTTATTAACTGAAACTAAATTATTATTTTTTAATAAGTCTTTTTAGTTACCTATACAGAAATATGAAAACTCAATTCCAAAGTTGTATGCAAATTAAATGTAAACTCAAAACTCAATATCCATTTGCTATTATCAGATTAAATAAGAGTACCTCGATCCTTTTAAATTTTTAAAGCTGAATCATTTTTTAAACACCATAAAATAAAATAAAATTAGTTAATCATGTTATAATGTTTATTTTAATTTTTAATTTTTTTCAAAACATAGTAGATAATCAAATTACTAGTAAAAGCAGAGGTTATTTAAGTATGTGAGGGGATTTTTTTTATTTATTTTTTATTATAATCATGTTAACTAAGAAACAATTTAATATTTTAATAAATAAAAAATAATATTTAAAAATAAAAAATCATTAATATATGTGTTGCAAAGTGATAGCAAACCAACTTGGGCTATCCTTTGACATTAGTTTATTGGATTTTGAGCTTTAAAAGTTTTTTTGGTTTTTTTACGAGGTTATTCAAATTTCATGTTTTAAATTTAGTTTTTTTTTCTATAGGGTTATTTTAATTTCATATCCTGTATTGTTGGTTAGTCAAACCAACTTGGGTTGTGTTGAGATTTTTTTTTTTAACATTTTGTTTGCTTGAGAATTTATATCCATTGTTTTAATTTATTTTTTATTTTAATTTTATCTCTTAATATTTAAATGATTTGAAATTTTTCTTCATGAGCTTTTCGTGTTTTTCTTTTATGGAGTAATTGCAATCTCATAATCCAAGTTATGGATTTCAAAATTTCACTCGATTTAAATTTAAACTTTTATTAGATCTTTGTTTTTATTTTTTTTTAATTTTATCTTTCGACATTAGTTTATTGGATTTTGAGTTTTAAGAGTTTTTGTGATTTTTTTTTTTAAGGTTATCCTGATCTCATGTTCTAGATTTAGTTTTTCTTTTTACAAGGTTATTCTAATCTCATATCTTGAATCGTGAGTTGGTCAAATTAACTTAAGTTGCGTTGAAGTTTTTTTGTTTAGTTTCTTCTTTGAACATTTGTTCTACTTGAGAGTTTATCTCCATTGTTTATTCAATTTCTTCTGTATGATATTATCTCGGTCTCACGATTGATTTGTAAATTTAACATGTTAATTTGAGTTAAGTTTCTTAGCGTTTTTAAAAAAAATTATTTTGTCTTCTAATATTTGATTTGTTGATACTGGAGTTTTGAATATTTTTTTTATAAGGTTATTCTATTTTCATTTAATTTTTATTTGTTGTCAAACAAGATTGTTGTGAGCTTTTTAAAATACTTGGATAATATTTTTTTTCTAATACTTGCAAGAGTATTTTTTATTCATTATCTTTTTTTAATTTTTTTATAATTATATTATTAAATTAACTAAATTTATAAGCCAACTGTCACAATATTTTTCTCCTTTAGAAACACTGTCACCAACTAAATGTTTTTATTTATTTTAGATAAAATTTAACCAGAACAGTGAAGGAGCGCGAGCCACGCATCAGTTAAGTTCTACTTCTGATATGCCTCTTCGGCTATATCCCATCGACCAGCTTTTGTCCGTATCTCACAATTCTGGCTACTATATATGCCTTCCTCATACGATGACACCGACCTCGTAATCTTTGCAGCTTTTGTCCGTTCAAGTTCCTAGCGGTCTCAACGCTGCTTCTTTAAACCTTCTGCTTCCTCGTTACGTAAACTATCCAAACTTCTGATTAACGGTGTCCATGGCTGGTTACACAATCTATATAATTAAGAACTAATTTATTGATGATCTTTTTATTTGGTTTCTCCTTCCTATTCGGAGGGTTTGAAGATACATGATTAGAGAAGGCTCTGTCAAGTCTAAGCTTGTGTTCGTGTTAAAATAAAACTGCAGATGATGGAAAGTTGTTCCATAAATTTACACTATAACGACCCTCAGCCAGCCCAAGGATGAGCTTACTTCTCTTTCATGTATTTTATTAGTAGTTCGGTTCTAACTCTTCTGTTTAATTCAGCCCAGCCTACATGAAACATGGTTACCACAACCGCTCCCACCTCAATGACTGGCATAATAGTGGTCTACTCTCCTTATTGATTTTTCTCCATGGAAATAACTTGCTGATTGATTGAAACGGAATCTTATTTAGGACTGCTTAAAATCATGATTAGTGTTTTTGTTAAAGAGATTAGAGTTGCTAGGCTAAAGTGCGAAATCTCGGGATATTTGATAGTTAAATCTTCTTCTTTTTTTCGTTTCTAAATATATAAAAAAATAAAAAAAAATATTTTAATATATTTCTAAATAAAAAAACATATTAACCTATACCACTCTAGAAAATTAAAACAAGAAACCTTGTTCTGTTAAAAACTGAAGATAATATAAAAATTATTTGTTTTGAAGTTCAAAAGTTATTCTTTAAAAAATTTAAATTTCTCTTATTTTTTATTTTACTTTAAATTAACTCTTTTCTTTTAATAGTTTTAAATTATTAAAATAAATTTAAATAACTACTACCATAATTTCAAAATACCAAAACATCGTAATCCATCAAGGACAACGGCAACGGCAAAAAAAACCTAACAGAATTAATGAATCCTGGCCTCGTGCCACAATCTATGATCTTACATTTATGTCTTTTCTTGCATAAAAGCCTCTATTATTTAAGACTTTATGACCTGCGTACTTGTCTTTTCTTGTACAAAAGCCACTGTTACTGGCCCATCAATCAATCATGTCAAAACAGTTTTGATCTTTCCGGTAGTAAAAGAGTGGCCAATCGCATCTCAGTACGCCACCATCCATCTTTGCGATCCACAGTTGCCCGTGCACTGCCCCCGGAAATATGAAATTGAAACTTGGAATGCAAGTCTTCAGCAATATACCAGGCAAAGGCAAAGGCAAAGGCGAATGTTTTATGGGAGAGATTAGAGGGATTATCAAGAATTAAATGGCCAAAAGTAGCAGACATAGTTCAATCTATGGTAATAACTTAGAAATCCGTATCATACAGGGAGAAATAAAAACAGCTTCAATTCAACGGCGCCAAACAGTTTTGGGAGCCAGGTAAAGAAACACCTCCACGGCCAAGCAAGCCCCTTTATTCCAAAGACTAAAGACTTGTACGCAAGAGTAAATAATAAAGACAGACCCATACCCAGAAACATCAAAACAGAGAATAAATAATCATCCACCCACAAGTAAATCAGCCTACGGCGTGGTTCTTGACTTACAATGACGAAATATAAGGCCAGGCCATCATGCCACCACCAGCACCACCACCACAAAGCCCCAACACCACCTCCTCCTCCTCCGCCACATCCTTCCAACACGGCATGTTCATCATCTTAGCAGGTGTGCACCCTTTGGACTCTTTCAGCTCATGATAAGTCATGTAAACCAAACACCCACCACCTGGCAACTCCTGCCTCACCACACTGTCACACAAGTACCCCTCCACGTCAGCACACTCAATTGCCCACCACTGGATCCCAACACCACCACCACCATGGCACGTGACTGCAACAGAGAAGTCACGTGGTCCAAAACACTTGAGCACCCTCTGCACCAACCCCCTCAACTTCACCTCACCACAGTCGAACCCCGTAGCCTCGTAGCTAGCATAACTGAACCCATCCTCTGGGGTCACATGCACTGTAGACAATGCTGTACCCTCAATCCCATTCATAGAATACCCACAAGGATCAAAGTCAAAGTCACAAATCACGTGACCAGGCATAATCTCGTTAATCCCGGACATTTTAGTCATCTCAGAAGCCGAATAATCAGCCGATTTTTTATAAAATACAGCCGCTTTCATCCTATCTAAGCCAGTCATGCACATCTCTAGAGTAACTGCAGACGTGTGATCTTTGCTCAACGGCAGTGATTTAGAATCCTTAGATGCCACATAGATATGCCAATTACGGTTAGCAGAGGTGGGATGGCCAATAACATAGGCATTAGCATTCAAGTTCCCGAAATACCCATTCAGAGCAGTGACTTCTTCAGCAAAGCAACGGTGAGGGGCAGGCTGGTAATCAGGGAAGATGAAGCTGCCACGTGAGTAAGTCACGTGACATACATCAAGAGAGAGTGACTCGGCTAGTTTCAGAATGGGGTCTACAGATAAAAGCAGCTTCGTGGTACCGCAGGTTTTGAGGATAATTTTTAGTGGGTAAATGAACAAGCTTGACTCGGAGAGAACGTAAGAGTCGAACTCACTGTTGGAGAGCTGAGATACTATGGTGCAACAAGCAGGTTCGAGGATTGAGCCGATTTGAGATCGAGTTAGGGTACGTAGTCCCAGCCCATTTGGGTCACTGAACAAGGATGGCTCAGAGAAAGTGATTTCAAGGCGCTTTTCAAAGCCTTCGAATCCGATAGGAGAAGGAGGTGGTGGTGGTGAATCAATGAGCATGGTTTCGAGACTAAATTTGGAAAGCTCAAATATTGCTGAAAGAAGAAACTGATGTGCTTTTCTTGGTGTTCTTTTTGTTTATTGGAAATTTAAAGGAGAGGAAAAAAGGAAAATGAGAAAATCTACTCTACTGAAGGTGCCATATGTTTTGGTTCTCGGGTCGTATCAGGATGGCATCCTCACGCACTGCAAACAAACCCACAAAAGAAGAAAACGAATTATAAATTTATCAAAAGAAAAAAACCTCAAACAAAATATTTATGTGCGTGATATCTAGGTTCAGAGTTGTGAATGATACGTACGTTGGAGTAAGCAGCAGATCGGAACTTTTCAATGCCACCGTTTGGACGAACGTCTTCAATGCTGTAACCAAGAGGGACTTCGTATTGAACTGAATTACTGCTACTACTACTAGACTTCTTTTTGCCTCCTTTTGTCTCCATCAGAACATCCACGCCTCTGCAAAAACCCAAGATTATAATCCCAAATTCAGATCACAAAATATATCTAGAAATAACAGAAAAAACCTTCAGGTATTACGAAATCAAAAACCCAGTACGTAAAATAAGAGAACAATAGGTGTTACATGTATAACAAGCAAAGAGAAATATTAGAAACCCTAGATTCAGAGACTTACGTATCTTAATTTCGCAATAAAACTTTGAGTATTCTAGAGGGTGGGTACGTATTGACTTAGCAGATACCAAAACAGAGAATTAAATTTGGGAAGGGAATGAGAGATGCGAGCAAACTGAAAGAGAGCAAGAATGGCGTTTTTTGTGAGATAGAGACGCTGCAGAGGGTTTTGTGTGACAGCAAAGATGAAAAGAGAGAATTTATAGAGGAACCACGGAAGAAATTAGAGGGACTCCACGCGGCGGATTTGAATTAAACCCTAGGCACGCTGGCCTCTTACTTGCCTCTAATTTACTGGGGAATAACATTGTTGTTTAATTTCACTTTCACGAATCGAACGTGTATTGCACGCTTCAATGAGATATAGACAAATCCTCTGGTTCTGCCGAGTTCCAGAATCATACCCAAGCTGATGGCAATTGGCCTCTTATATGCGCAGCTATTAGAATGTGCATGGGAGGTTGAGTACACTATAATATAGCGCGTGGGAATATTTGATTAGACTGAGTTAAGTTAATGTCCTTTGTAGAGGCATATATTATACATGCAACTACGCTGCTGTGCAGCTCGTTGGATAACATGTGGCAACTGGTGAACAAATGACCAAGATGATCAAAAAATCCTTTTTTGACACGACATAAAAAGTGTATACAGGAAGATCAGTTGAATAATGTTTTGGAAGGAGATCAATACAAATCATGGCTTAAATGACTGCCATTAGAAATGAATTTGAAGATGGATCTCACAATCAAAGGAATAATGAAACGAACATGAAGCCAATAAAAAGTTATATATTGGACCCACAATCTTAACATGTCCACTAAATTATTTCAAATTTATAATTAATTTCTCTAATAATAATAGTAATAATCCCGGATGGTTTGATTTTATTACATCACAAAACTTCAAATTATAAATTTAACACCAAAACATAGCCTAGCCTTATCTCGTTGTGCATCTTCCATGTAACCTGTAATATTCACAAATATCTAATATATATCTTGTTGCATCCTCCATGTATTACCATTAACGAAAAATCGTTATGCTGATTTAACTATTTATATAAGTAGTGAGCATGGTTAGTATTATTTTTTAATTGTTGGTTATAAATTTTATTTCATAGCTTAATGATTAATGTGTGAAGTAACTTTGAGGTTGTAGTTTTGATGCTAGGGAGTGCATTTAATTTATTAATTTTAAGGTCTTTTTATTCTTAAAAAAAAAAACAGAAGAAGAAGAAGAATGGGCAGACGTGTCTACCCCTAATAAGAAGCGGGGGGAAAAAAAAAAACCCATGCCTTTGGGTTTTGTATTGGCTATTTGGGTTTTTTATATATTTTTTTAAATTTATCTTTTAATATGATATTTTTACTTCTTTGGAGTTTTTGACCTCTTTATTTTTATTTTTTTTCTTTATTTTTATTTTTTTTTATTTGGTTGATGGTAAATCAATTTTTATATTTTTTAATATATAATAAGTTTCTTTGGTTTTTTTTTATTTTTTTAATTTCATAATTTAATATGTGGTTTTTATTTCTCTTGGGTCTTTTGATCTTATTTTAAAATATATTTTTTCTAGTTATATATTTTAATATGATATATTTTTATTTATTTAATTTTAACTTTTAGTATTAAATTAGTTTTTTTAGATTTATTGTATAGAAAAATTCTCACATAATTAAATTTAAAATTCAGGTTTAGTAAATAGATTCAGCTAATTGTTCCTAGTTTGACCATTTTTGAGTTTGAACAATTGTTCCTGGTTTAATAAACTACTGGTAATGTGGCAAAGGGACATTTTTAAGAGCATCCCCCTTCCTGGATTCTTAAACCCCAACGTTTCTGATTAATGCCATTAATTGGGCTGGCAAGGTTGGTTCATCAATTGTTTTAGAAGATTGGTAGCTCGTGTGGCTCGTCACTGTGAGAGCATTTAAAATAAAACTAGACTGGTGGCTGCGTGTGAGGTTTTAGGCTAGATTATTTATATAAAAAAAAAAATAGAAGATGATTTCATTTAAAAAAAATTAAAAAAATGGTAACTAGGTTAAATCTTAATTAACTTGATAATATAATAAAAAAATAAGACAACAATAATAAAAAAGTTAAAAAAATATTATAGTGGACAAAGCTAGATTAGCATGTAAACTTCATGACCTGGATATTATTTATGTTTATATTACATGTCTATCATGTGTTCTAGACTGTGAAATCATAATAATTTAATAAAAAAATTGATGAAAAATATGAAAAAAATAAAAAGTTAAGAAATAAATGTAGATCTCAATATCGAATAACATAACACTGATTATTTACCATATCATGTTAAATGAATTTGTTAATTAAAATCATTTTATTGTAAAAAAATAATATGTATAAAAACTCTTCTTATCTAGTAGAACTTGATCTAAACTGAAAAATCAAATTGAAAAAAATATTTTATCTTAATGTAAATCTAGTTTTTTAGGCTATATTGCGACTTAAAAAATCTAACAAGTTTTTCTTTTAAAAAAAAAGGTTTTGAAATGAGAAAAATAAAATTTAATATCAAGATTAGAGTTTTAAAAATTAAAAGGACCAATTATACCGTAAAACAAAAAAAAAAAGGGATAAAAATGAATTTTTAAGATAAATTTAAGAGTCATCACTTATTTTACCTTTTTTTTTCACTTTAGATATTTGTTTTTTAGTTCAATCATTCCACCTAAAAAAATAGGCAATTAAGTTCTAATTTAGGCTCAAAAGGATTAAATCGTGCAAGGTAAATCATCAAGGATTAAATTGAATTTTTTTAAAAAATCATAATCCACAGTGATATCCAAGACAGTGAACTGTATTTGTGCAACAGTAAAAAAGAAAAGAAAAGAAAAGAAAGAGCTCTTTATGTGTATATTAATACTAAATTTATCTTTAACAGGAACAAAAAGATATATAAAATATCAACTTTAGTCAAAGTGGAACGAGTTGTGATGTATAAATAAAAATGAAAAGGAATAATTAAAATGAAGTTAATTGTTTTATTTTTCTATTATTAAGACAGGGTGGTCCACTGAGAAGGCAACGTTATTGATTAGCAATCTTGAACGTCATCCCAATTTGATTCTAGCTAGACAATTCGACAATGCAACTATTCGATGAAGTGACGTCCCTTTCTACTACTGTTAATAATAATAATAATAATAATAATTTTTAAAAGCATTTCAGATTTAAATTAATTAAAATACATATAAACTAACCAGTTAAAATCCTGAATCTTGAACTAGAGTGGTTCCTGGATTAGATCTAAAAACTATGGGTAGAATAGTTGTGGGAAATGAATTTCATACAGGGTTAGTAAATACGAGCCTCATGCAAATTCATTTGAAAAATTAGATTCAAGAGTATAGTGTTTTCAACCCCACGTTGGATATAATTAATAAAATTAATATACAGTCAATTTTTTTTGAAATTATATATCATGTGTCATATGAAGAAGTTAAAAATAAAAATATATTTTATTTTAAAATTCACGAAGAAAAATAAGTTTATAGGATTTGTATAGACATGTCAGAAGTTCAAGTCCTAAATTTAAACGAGCAAAGCTTGAATATACCAAAGCTCAACTAGCTGGTCGTTGAAGGAAAACACACGAGACTACACGCTTCAGACGCAGTTCGGGATGTGATTTTTTTTTTAATATTTTATTATGTTGATATTAGAAATTATTTTTAAGAAATTTAAAAATATTATTTTAATATATTTAAAAAATAATTGTTATCACCCCTTGACAAAAATTAATTTAGCGGCAAAAGGTAGCTAAAACAAGAAACAATAACTATACTATAGTGTCTTTTTAAATTAAACAGAGTCATCCATACAGTTAAAGACAAGTTATAATTGTAATAAAAGTAATTTTACTTCTTACACGGATTTAAAGGAGTCACATCATAATTTATTTTTATACCATGAGACTCGTTATTTAAAAAGCAAACGGGATCTTGAATGATTTTATCAAGGTGAAATAATGTTAACTTTTCCTTGAGGATAAAAGCTTTCTTGTAGTTGAAGTGATTCTCGTTATTCTCTGTCGAGTTGCAACTTTTTTGGTTTCTTTTGCCTCATAGTTTACATCCTCGTTTTGTTTGTATTAGGCTATTAATGTACTGGGATTTGTTCCATGTTCTCGTCCCTACCGAGAGGAGAGATTTTGTGCTGTTAACTCTTACAATTTATTTTTTAAAAATAATATAGCTGTAAAATATTTTAGCAAAATCATTATATGCTATGCTGTGAGTTTGTGATATACTTATATATTATTAAAGATTTATAAAAAAAATTTATTATAATTCATAATATTTTTAAATAAAAAATTATAAAGTTAAATTTTTAACTAACTTAATATTAAAAAAATAAAATCAACAAAGATAATTTTAA